AAGTGGCTCTCCAGAGTAACCCGTTTGTGATGACTCCTAGAAGTGACTGCCGTGTCCTGATGATGGCTTTTGCTTAGGGATCATGGTCAACTTAAGCTTGTTTAAAATACCATTTCCCAGGACTTACATGCTACTCCCTGAACGATGGGAATACTCAAAGCTTTTAGAGGGAATAAACTATTGAATGGTCTCTGACTACAAACAGGCTACAGTTCACTGGAAACAGCCAGTTCAGATAAATAAAATGAAAGCAGATGCTTTTGTGATGGTCTTGAAAGCTTTCCATTAGAGAACACCCAGGGCATCGAAGTAGGAACAGCCCGTGTCTATGTTACATGAGCAACGGCTACCCTCTCTTTTATCCTGAGTGACAGAGTGAGTATGCATCTCCTCCAGTAGACAGCAGAAGTTTCAAGGAACCTGGCAAACTTTCCATTGAGGAAACTTGGTCCCCACTCCCGGCACAGGTTAACCTGAACTCAGCCAGTTAATCTGCTGTGGATGCCTTTTCTTTGGCTGCCAGTTTTGGCCAGGACCTTCTAGATTTCTCACCAGCATTGGCTCAGTCCTATTTTGTGTTATAAACTAGAATTTAATAACAATGACCCAATCCGAGCAAACCAAAGGCCAAGGGAGACCAAAGGAGTGGTGGGCAGTGGAGGGAGGTGACCATATTGTCTTCCCAGACAGGCAGTACCACGAGCATGCGGAAGATGACTGTCACACCTCTGCTCTGGGTAAGACAGGATCATGAAGAAAGGAAAAGAAGTATAAGGAGTTACGTGCTAGCAGACGCACTTTGACGCAAACAGTGTTTCCTAATTTGATTGATAAACAAAACTGTATAAATACATTAATAGGTTTTATCTAATAATATATACAGGTTCTAAAATGCAGAAAAGCTAATTTATACACTTTTTTTGTTAAAAGACATATATCAAAGACTGGTATCTTATTGGGACATATTTATTTGGGAAAATCCAATTCGAGCCGCATTATTCCAATGTAGAGGCCTTTCCTGGACAGAGTCTAATGTGAGAATAAGGCTTGTTTGGATTCAACTAAGGGCTCAGGTGACAACATCAGCAGTTACTCAGTTATTTTACTGCCCTTTCAATCAGTTCGTAGAAGGAATAGGTGCATCAATTATCAGCATTTGTTTTTCTGTCTTAATAAGTTCTTGAAAATCTTTAGCACATATTAAGTAAAGATGCAAACACTACAGGATGGTAACTCATTCATGTGAGATGACGCACACAGCTTAACCCGATTTAAGGGCTCTCTGTGCTCTTGGCAACTAGATAGAAGATAGATTATAGATAGAAAATAGATACTGACCTGAGACCATACTGATACAAAAATCAAACACTTTGAACCTGGATGTCAGTTTGGAGGTCTAGGCAATCTATGGGGCCTCTGGTAGTGGATCAGTATTTAACCCTAATACACGAATGGACTTTGGGAGCCCACTCCACATAGAGGGATGCTCTCTCAGCCTACATACATGGGGGAGGGTCTAGGCCCTGCTCCAAATGATATGACAGACTTGGAAGATTCTCCCATGGAAGGCCTCACCCTCCCCGGGGAGCAGAAAGAGGATGGGGGGTCAATGGGAGGCAGGGGAGGAGGGGAGGGAGAGGGAACCGGGATTGAAATGTAAAACAAGCTTGTTTCTAATTTAAATTTAAAAAGAAAAAAATCGTTGATATATTGCATGTTATGGCCCCAAATTTTTCTCAGTGGTAGTAGGTTTGGGAAAGCACAGAGGAAATCACCAGGGAGGATGGTTTTCTATAGAAATGTCTTACTTTCCTGAGCATTGGTGTGAAAATTTAAGGCCTGGCATTTTCTGTTGTTCTGGACTAGCATATGTGTCAAATGGGGACTCCCTGCCCTGTAAGAGCGCCACAGAAGTGTACAATTCTAAAAGCAGTTTTCATGTATTCAATGAATATTACTAATAAAGCTTTAATATTCAAAGAATTATAGTATACTGCTATACTATTTGTATACAAAATCATAAATATCTTACTATACAGGATAACTAGACATAGCAGCTTTTCAAATATTTACGTATTTATTTTGTGTGTATGACTACAGGTGTACACATGCCACAGCATGTGTGTGGAGGCCGGAGGAGGGCCTTCGGGTATCTGTTCTCTCCTAACAAGTTGTGGGATCTGGGAACCAAAGTTAGGCTGTGTTCTGAGCCATCAACAGTCTGACAAACTACCTTACATATACCCTCTCTTTCAGTGACTATAACTGCTCTACGGAATTATGTTTGATTCTGAATATGCAGTTCAGAAGTATCTACGAGTTCTAAGTAATTTGCCTTGGAAATCTGAAAAAGGCCATGAAGGTTTCTGAAGTGAGTGTAACCTTAGTGGCAATAAGCTAAAAAGCCGAAAGGAAAGGTCACTGTCCCCAGGTATGTGTGCAATTCCCCTTTTCTCTGGCTGGGGATAGATATGGTTGAATGTCTGATTTCTCTGCACTTTCCCATGGTAGGGCTTTGTATAACACTTACCCTTATGTCATACTCTTTCCTCAAGGACAATGCTACCTTCATGAGAAAGTGTCTGAATTGATACAGGAAGAAGGTGGAATGGAATACCAAATATAATTACACCTTAGACAAGTGTGTGGGGTCCGTTTTGGTGTGACGCGTATTTAAACTGTATTCATAACATGCTTAGTGGTATTTATTTTAGAAGAGTGATAAAAAGACAGGATTGTAGATGAAATGGGCTAACATATAAGCACCAGGTTCCCTAGGGGTAGATGTTAAAAGCTAAAGGGGGCTTTCTGCAAACATAAGTAATAAAGAAAGTAACATGTACCCAGGTGGACAGTTTAGGCGCTTGTGTAAAGGATACAGAGAGATCCCTGAAACCTGAAGCTGCAGGGAGCAAGCCTCCTGGTTGGAAACTGTGTCAGGGGGATCTATGGCAAAAGTTAGTGAGAATTATGTCGCAAGCTTTCAAAAACAAAACCCTTGTAACATGGGAGCCACGGTGGCCAATGATCCCAGAAGCCAAAGGACTGGCTCTTGAAACCACTAAGCTATCTACACATCAGAAGGCTCAACGGATAGCTAGGGAGGAAGGTTAGATCATGCTGTAGGGATCAGGGCTTAAGGAGATGACAAAGGACACAAAGTAATGCTTATAGCCATAATTTTAAGATTGCACGTGGGAAACAATACACATAAAAGGCGTGTATTAAGCATGTATCAACCGAATCCAGTGATTGTTATACCTAACAAGGGTTGTTACAACCAAACCCAGAGGTCAAATGGTGCAAAAAAGAATTAGCTACCGATGTCAACATTCTTTTGTCACATGTTGCCTATATAAAAATCAAACAAAGGTTTCCTTAAAAATGTTTTTAGGTTTCAAAATATTTTTGTGTATAACTTGTTTGGATGTATGTACATGTTCACGCTGGTGAGCATGTGCATACATGTGTACATGTATGTAGAGGTCAAAGGTTGATTTTGGCTGCCTTCCTTAATTGTTCTCCACTTTATTTTTGAGACAGGGTCTCTCACTGAAGCAGAAGCTCATCCATTCAGGTAAGCTGGCTCATCAGTGAGCTTCAGGGTCTCCCTTTCTCCCTCTGGCACACCCACATGTTGGAGGGACAGATGTTGCCACACCTGGCTTCTCCATGTGTGCTGTGGTCTAAACTCAGGGCCCTAAGCCTGCTCAGAAGGCATTTTGCTGACCAAAGCAGCTTTCCAGCCCAGAGCTTTGCTTCTACATGGAATACTTATATGAAGTTTAACATTAGACTTCATTATTGCGTTTCTCATACTCCATCTTACTCCTTGCTAAACATTCTGGAGCTGTGGCAATAGTTCAATACAGAAAGTATAGGGCCTAGCATGACTTCAGTTGCAGAAGCAAGGTTCTGCGATTACTGTTCATGCCTTTAACATGTCAATTCAAACACTGCTTCCCTCTTGGCATAATAAATTACAAAAGTACAGATAAGACTGTTGTCTATGAGCATTTATTACCAGGCATATGATTCTGTGGGTAAGCACAGTTGTTAATATATTCTGTCAGTGACCAAAATATTTATACATCTAATAAAGTAAAAAAACCTTTTAAAAATTAATATTTTTCATGAACTGCCAATTCAACCAGAAGACTGAATAGTAGAAATAACAAAAGATTTGTTCTTAGGGTTGATTAAAAATTTATATCAGAGCATTCAAGTAAAGTTATTTTCTGTGTTCTGATTTAATGAATCATGTGAGTCATATCTGGTTGGGTGACACAGATTCTGGCTCACTGAAGCCAACCTAATCCTTCCCACACACCTGGGGACAGGGAAAGCACATGTCAGACCAAAGTCAGCAAAGAAAGAGAGCGGGGCTGGAGATGCCCTGAGGTGAGCTGGGAGCATCCTAAGATCTCAACTGCCTGTGGCTTCAACGACCTAACACACACCCAGCAGCAGTAATGAATGATCTCAAAAGAGTCTTCCAATTCACAATGAAAAACACCACACCCAATAAATGCCTTTAACCCTTTTGTAAACAGCCTAGAAACCACCAGTGGTTTCTTAAAAGATGAGTGGTTTCAAATGTTTTATGTATACTTGGGTAGTATTTACTTTAGTTGCTTTAAACCTGTTAGATTCTAAAATGTACATTTACAAAATAAAACTTATCCACTACTACTGAAGACAAACTATGTCAAAAAATGAAATATATGCAAAAACACAGATATAAAACAATGGCGCTCATTCAGTCTTAGGAGAGCAGACATTAACAATGAAATGTAAGGGACTATTGCATAAACCTTGCATATGGGATGTTCTCTAGCAAAAGATAAATAATATTTAAGAGGACTAGGTTTTCTTAAGATGGTAGAGACACAAAGAAACATCTCAAAATACGGAAACGACATTCTCCAAGGCTGTGTGCAAACCAGGGACTGTCCTGACCCAACTGTTCACTTAGAGATGGAGTCTGAATAAGGACTTACAATGTCAGCAACACCACAGCGATTAAAGTCCATTCCACAGGCTTGTGTATGATGTTTCGATTTGACAATCTGAAAGACATCAAGATTTACCTTGAATTTTAGCTCTTGATAAGAATCATGGTTTTAATGTGTCAAAGTGGTAGTTCTTTATTTTATTTATTTATTTTGTTTTTGGAAACAGGATTTCTCTGTGTAGCCCTGGCAGTCCTGGAACTCACCCAGTAGACCAGGCTGGCCTCAAACTCACAGAGATCCTCCTGCCTCCTGAGTGCTGGGATGAAAGGTGTGTACCACCACTGCTCAGCTAAGGTAGTTCTAGATACCTATTCTATTTCACAAGGTAGAGTCAGTGGTGTAATAATGCAGTTGTTAGGGGGTTTGACACTGACAGTCACCCACCCCAGTTTGAACATGCCAAGGTTACTTGGCTTCCGAGATGATACAACAGCAGACAGTAACAACCCCAACAGGAAGCAGTCCAGCCCCACTCTGACACACTTACAGCAACAGTATTATTAGACAGGACAGGGTTATGAGAATCACAGTGGCTCTGATCTCAGTATAGCTAAGACTCCCCAGCACTTCCTGACCTGCGCTTGGTTGGCAGCAGGCAATTAATTATTGCCATAATTTACAGGACATGAATGCTTGCTCACAGTACAGTATAAAGTCAGCTGACATGGATATCAGCCCAGCCCTGTCACTTACTGGTGCTATAGACTCTAATACTTACTACTAATATACAAATAATATATAAAACGTTAAGCTGGGTGTGGTGGTGCACACCTTTGATCCTAACATTGGAGAGGCAGAGGCAGAGGAATCTCTGTAAGTTAGAGGCTAGCCTGGTCTACAGAGCTATTACAAGTCCAGCCAGGGATATATATAGAGTTCCTGTCTCAAAGACAACAAAAAGAAAATGAATCAAACTTTCAACAACTGATACAGAAAACTCAACAGAACTACTTTTCCTCACAGTCTTCTACAAAGCTCAAGTGTACAAATGGCACATTCTGCCAGATCCTCCTCTTCCCTTACCTGCCAGCAGCTCTGACACAGCTGAGCAGGGCGGTCTCTACCTGGTTCCCGGCATCACTTCCAAACCCCTAACCTGGAGCACCCTGGGCTTTCTGTGAGAACACTTCTTTTTGGTGATTTTATCTTATCCCATCTTACAGCACCCAGATGATTAAGGGCTGACACTCTCAAACCTTCCTTCCAGCTCTAGTCATTCTCTGTATCAGATGGCTTCACTGGCACATGTGACACACACACATACATATCACTCCTCATGTGCTGGCATGGACAGGCTTTTCTATCCCCAACCCCAGTTTCACAGCTATTCACACAGATTTTCCTTCTGCCACTGCCCACTTTCCCCTGCTTATCAGCACCCTAAATGTTCCGTGACATGCCAGGCTCACTCCTGTTTTCAGGTTTCTTTTTTATTTTGTACGTACAGTGTTCTCCTTGCATGTGTGTCTGTGCACCATGTGCTTACAGTGTCCAAAGAGGCCAGAAGAGGGCGTTAGGTCCCCTGGAACTGTGGTTACAGATAGTTGTGAGCCACCATGTAGGCATTAAGAAATGAACTCAGGACCTCCAGAAGGGCAGCCAGTGCTCTTAATCAGTGAGTCATCACTCCAGCCCCATTTCCAGGTTTCTTAATTTTTTTAATGTGATGTATGCTGAGTGTGTGTGTGTCATGGTACACGTATGTGCCATGTATGGAGGAGGTCTGAGTACAACTTTGTGGAGTTGGCTCACTTCTTCCACCTCGGTGTGGGTTTAGGGGATCAGGCTCAAGTCAGCAAGTGCTCCTTTGCCTGCTGAGCCACCTTGCTGACCATTTCCAGGCTGTTCTGTCTGATGATTTCAGACAGTGACAGCTTGTTCCTGACCTCCCATTAGCCCTTTATTCAAACGCAGCCCTCGATGCTGTCTCCCCACTAGATGATCTAAAATTGAGACTTTCTCACTCTTCAGTACCACCCTGCTCCCAGCTTCTTGGAAGAAATGGAGAATATACTGGTGAAGAGAGTGCATGGCTACACAGTAATATATTACACTCACGAAGGCACACAGCTCTCTGTCAGGGTGAAGCACCATGAGATAAGGTCTTTTCTGTTCACTGCCATCCTGTAGCAAATAAAATAGGACTCAGCACAGAACCATGAAGAGCTGAGACAGCAGGATAAACATGAACATAAAAATGACAAATAGAGTGTAAAGCAGCTGCTCTGGTCTGGGTGGGTCTTTTTGTTTGTTTTGTTTTGGTTTGGTTTTGGTTTTTTGAGACAGGGTTTCTCTGTGGCTTTAGGGGCTGTCCTGGAACTAGCTCTTGTAGACCAGGCTAGTCTCAAACTCACAGAGAACCACCTACCTCTGCTTCCTGAGTGTTGGGACCAAAGGCTTGTGCTACCCCTGCCTGGCTCTTGTTTTTGTTTTTAAGATGGGTCTGACTATGCAGCCTGGGCTGGCCTGCAGCTTACACAGAATGGCCCACCTGCCTCTGCCTCTGAGTACTTGGATTAAAGATGTGAACCATCAAGTCTAAAATTCTGTTTTGGTTTTTGTTGTTGTTGTTATTAAACTTCTCAGTTAACATGTAGTTAAGATTTCGTGAGTTCATTTTGTTATTCAGGAAAAGAAATGTACCACGTGTGTAATTTATACCATTGTTCCAGGTACTGAGGAAATACAATAAGAGGCTGTCTCAGTTACTTGTCTATTGCCATGACAAAAGCACCATTACCGAGAGCACAGCATCAGGCAGGCACAAAAGGCACTGGAACAGTAGTTGAGAGCTTATCTGCTCCATAAGCAGGAGAGGAAGTGTGTGTGGGGGAGGGAGACAGGGAGGGAGGGATGGAGGGAAGAAAAGAGAGGGAGAAAGACAGTGAGAGAACCCACTGGGAATGGCCTGGGCTTTTGAAACCTCATCACAGTGACACACTTCCTCCAACAAGACCACACCTCCTAATCCTTCCTAAAAAGTTCCACCAACGGGACACCAAATATTCAAACATATGAGCCTATGGGGTCATTCTCATTCAAACCAGCAGAGATTTTGCTTTTATCTTGAAGTATTTCTGTTACATTAGCAGAATAGCAAAAGTCTACTTGTTTTCATGCTGTTGATCCAAAAAGTCTCTAGTATACATGCAAAATTAATACATTTACTACTAACTCATACTTAAAAACAAAAAACAAAACAAAACAAAACAAAAGGGTCTGGAGGAATGGCTCAGGGTTTAAAAACACTGTTCTTTCCAGAGGACCGGGGTTTAATTCCCATACACACATCATGTGGCTCATAACCAGCTGTGCTCCCAGCTCCAGGAGACCCAATGCCCTCTTCTGGCCTCCTTGGGCACACATTATTTAAAATTTACACACGTTTAGAAAAATTCTTGATTCATCATAGATGCAATTTCAAAAGGATTTTAATGGCAGACTAGACTAGGATTTTCATCAGTATCTGCTCAGACAAGCATCCTGACCAGCTGGCTAGAGCCTGTCCTGTGCTGTGACAGGGGAAGCAGATACAGCCCAACTCCGGGCAGGGTGCTAGTTGCTAGTGGGAGGTGGGGGTGGTGGGCAGCTGTCTACTCAGGCACGAAAGGCTCTTCAGAGAGTGCTAGACAGGCTCTCAACTTTGTATGCTGGAATCACCTAGGGGGCTTTTAAGCTATCCTGCTGTCTGAGCACAAGCCTAATTAATCAAAGGAGACCTGATCTCCAGGGGCCTAGCCACACATTTATAGCTGTTAAATGGCTTAAGGATGGCTGTTCTACAGGTTCTTAGTACTGGCCATTATTTCAAAGAGAAAATCACAGTTATTCCTTTCAACTCTCTCCCACTATCAGTATTCACTGAAAGGAGCTCTGCACTCTAGTCACTGCCAGCAGTAGGCCATGTTTACAGAAGAAACTCAGACTACAGAGCCACACTTTCTCATCCTCTCTGGGAGCTCCTGACATCTCCTTGAAGGCAGTCAGGGACACTTAAGAGCTACAGACTCTGATCCACAGGCTTTAGATGACAGACTGTTAAAAATAACTTACTCAACACCAAGTTGTCTTGACAGCAGGATTCTAAAGTATCCCCTACCAAGATAATATTAACTTTTGGGCTTGTTTTTCACAGATGTCTTTATTAAATTCCAAGCATCTGTAAAAGTAGAGAAAGCAAAAACTAAGCTCTTGTATGCTACTTATTATTCCAACAACAACTAACTCCTGACCACATGTTCACAGCCCATATTTACTGTCACCCCTCCTGACTTGATGAAATGATGCTATTGACTTCAAATTTATCCAAGTCTTTAAACTTACATGAACAATGAAAAATGTAATTGGGAGGGATCTAGCTGCAAAACAGGGCTGACAGAAAAAGTGACAAAACAAGTTTGTACATTAAACTGGACAAATCAAAGTCCCCACATAGTTGCAGTCTGTCATTAGGAATGAAGAGCCATGTGTCTCTAGTCCTGGCTAGCTCAGGTGTCAGGAGCATGAAGCTTGATGGGTAACTGAGTAGATAGTAGATTCCTTACAAAACCTTCCTCAGTAATTCCATTAGGCTCTTTGGGTTTTTAGTGTTGGTGAAATTACCAGTTCTCAACCTTGGAAGTATTCAGGTATATATCCCAGCTGCTCCTGTGATACGTGTGTGAGGAAACAGAACAGACGTGGACTGGACACAGTAAAGTTGCCAATCCAGGGGATGGAAGGTGTAATACAATTCAAACAACTCAAGGAGGGTTTTGCATGTGTTCTAAGAGGTCAAAACTGGGCCTCACACATGCCAACCACATATTCCACCACTGAACCACACTCCCAGTCCACACAGCAGACTGACTCTGTATATCAGCTCTAACAACAGTTCTTCATGAGGGTTCCTGAAAGTGCATCCTCCCCACCTTAAGGCAACTTCCTACCACAAATGTGAAGAGCTGCCTCTGCGGCCCTTTCCTAAAGTTCATCACATGTGATGATTTCCAGTTTTACTGAGGGATGATGGGTAAAACTGTATGTAAGTGACTACATATATTTACCAGAAGAAATCTGGGTGATCAGCACACCTCTCACCTCATGCAGTCTCCTGTGTGTGTGCGCGCATGTGCGCGTGTAGCAATAAGAAGACCTACTCTTTTAGCAAATTCTGAGCCCATGGTGGAACACATGAAACTAATACATGTTTCCCACAGCAGCTGGTAAGGTGCTTGAGGAATAGACTGCCTCCGAATATGTGTTCAGGGCTTAAACCCAGGAAGTAAATTAACACTGTTGAGTAAGTGTCTGCCTGTGGAAGAGCTAAGTTATAGAAGAGAGGAATAAAGAAGGGAAGGCAAGTGGAGGGAAGCACTGGCCTGGGAACAGACCTGGCCTTACCGAAGTTCTAACAGCCAGCTCACAGTCTAGCTCCATCCAGTGAATCAAACCACAGACAGCACCACAACCTGCATTCTTCCCTCAAGCTCAACGAAGTTAAGCTGCCTTGTTCCTATGCCTTTGTTAACATTTGCTGAGAGCCAAATTCGAATTTGTTGAAAATAGAAAGAATATGGTATAATATAGAGTGACAACCCCAACACGGCAGTGAGGACCCCGACATGGCAGGGCCAGCTCTGACACGCATAGTGACGACCCTGACACAGCAGTGCAGACCCTGTATGTGTACATGTGCGTGGGGAGGTCAGAGGACAACTGGGTTTAGTGCCTCAGGTGTCATCCATCATTTCTAAGTCAGGGTCTCCCTGCAGCCTGGAATTTGCCAAGTAGCCTATGCTGGCTGGCCAGCAGGCCAAAAGGCCGTATCTACCTCCTCAGTGTTGAGATTATCAGCATACACAATCATGCTAGCTTTTTCATTTGTTTTTTGTTTGTTTGTTTGTTTGTTTGCTTGGTTTTGTTTTTGTTTTTTTTAAACTTAGCTTTTGGGGACTTGTGGTTTGAATAGGAATGGCCCCCATAGACTCAAGTGTTTGAATGCTTGCCCACAGGGAGTGGCACTATTAGGAGGTGTGGCCTTGTTAAAGGAAGTATGTCACTGTGGAGGAGGACTCTGAGGTCTTATATGCTCAAGCTAGGCCTAGTGGGGCAGTCTCTTGCTGCTGCCTGTGTATCCAGATGTAGATCTCTCAAGTATGTCTCCAGCACCGTGTCTACCCCTTGTGTTGCCATGTTTACCGCCATGACAAGATGGACTAATCCTCTGAACTGTAAGCGACGCCTCAATTAAATGCTTTCCCTTTATAAGAGTGGCCATGGTCGTGACGTCTCTGCATGTTACAAGGCCAGCACTCTACTGACAGAGTCATCTCTCCATCCTAAACGCAGTTTACTGTGTAAGCAAGCTATCCAAAGTAAACATACGTCCAAATTTGAGCCAAAAGGAGTTGTACTCAATAGAAAACAACAAGTAATTTTAGAGGAGGAGAAAACAGCACTGAGTTTACAATAGAAGTCCACAAAGGCAAGCCATGTGCTTTCCTTAGTCTAACTATGGACTGTGCAAGAGTCAATATGGTCAAAATAACAGAGAAGGAAAAAAATCACAACATTAACACTAACCTGAAAGTTTGCACAAGGTTTTTAAGTTCAGAGTAAACATCGCCTATTGTAATCTGAAGAGGACCCAAAAGTCCAGGCAATCTGAAAAGAAAAAAAATAAAAATAAATTACACACATTATTTAAAGCTAGAACTTCATTGTTATGTAGAAACACTTCAGTGGGCATGCCTGCCTCTGGGTTCCCATGGCCACCAGTGACACTGGGGTAGAAGTGAAAGTTAAGTTACGTTTGTGACTCCTGAGAGGTCAAAGGAGCATTCTCCTGACTCCAGCTCTGCATCCGTGCTACAGAGTGCAAAGCCCTGCAACACAAAACTACCCTGGCTGCTGCCTGTGCATCTTTCTGGCCCTGGTTTTGTCTGTCCTCACTGTAATTCCAGAGTTTTAATATGAAAGCATTATCCTTTGAATAATCATATAAACACTATTCCAACAAACACAAGATGCCTGTAGAAATATTTTAGTGAGAACTTGAAGATAAACGTATCAGTAGGTGATTTATATAACAAATACATTTAGTGACCCATTAAAAAAAAACCTTTAAAATAGTACAATTATTTTTGAAAATGATAAATGTTTGGTGAAAATGCCATATAACACATTTGAAATAAAAATACATGATGCTTATTATACACAAAATACATTTCATTCCTTCTGGAGTAAGCAAAAGAATGACTACATATACCATGTACAGAATATAGAGATGTAGCCTAGCCTGCCCCCAGACTTTCTATGTAGTTAAAGATAGCTGTCAAGTCCTCACCTTGCTGCTGCCCTTCCCAAGTGCTGGGTGACAGGCCTGGCTCAGATCCAACCTTTTTTTTTTGTGTGTGTGTGTGTGTGTTTTCAAGACAGGGTTTCTCTGTGGCTTTGGAGGCTGTCCTAGAACTAGCTCTTATAGACCAGGCTGGTCTCGAACTCACAGAGATCTACCTGCCTCCGCCTCCCGAGTGCTGGGATTAAAGGCGTGCGCCACCAACGCCCGGCCCAGATCCAACCTTTTAATATCCTGTCATGCTTGTTTCATGTCTCTGTCCCTTGCTCCACCCCCAGAAGTACTTTAAAGCAAACTCTTGACATTATGTCACTGGACCCTTATTCTCACTCATCCCTCTAAATACATTTTTTTTTAAATATAACCACAATAACATCACCATACCTAACCATTTACTTTTTTCTGGTGTTTAAAAAAATCAGCCCAGAAAAATGGCATTTCAAAGTCCTTCCCCAAGTCCTCTGGCTCTTAGAATCTTCCTGCTTCCTCTTCCACAGTGTCCCCTGAGCCTTGGTGGTGGTGGGTGTTGTAGAAATGTCTAGTTTAGGGCTGGGTGTTGGTGGCGCAGCCTTTAATCCCAGCACTTGGGAGGCCTCTGCAGGAGGATCTCTGTGAGTTCGAGGCCAGCCTGGTCTCCAGATCGAGTGCCAGGATAGGCTCTAAAGCTACACAGAGAAACCCTGTCTCGAAAAACCAAAAAAAAAAAAAAAAGAAAGAAAGAAATGTCTCGTTTAGGGCTTGGTCAGCATTCAGCCATCACCTCCATCAGCTAAAACATGTAGGAAATTATTTCCAGTGAAATCCCTATCTTCTAACTATGGACCCGAAATTCAAAAGCTGCACAAACAAAGTTAAGTTTGATATTGTCTTGCATTGTATTAGATAGGTGGTGACTTATATGGAATTATTTCACAGATACAGACAAGTGTAAAGGTTAAAAAAACAAAACAAAAAACAATGGGGCTGGGGAGACGCCTCAGTCAGTAACATGTTTCTCATACACAAGCATAAGGACCTGTGGGAGGAGACAATGGCCAGTGACTGTAGCCTAGTGTGTAAATTCTAGGTCCCAGTGAGATCCTGGCTCAAGAAACAAGGTGGATGACTCTTTGGAAATGACTCTTTGGATGACGTTGGCTTCTGGCCTCCATGCCCACATACATGGAACTGCATGCATATAAATATATACATAGATTCTGTACATATACCCCCCCACACACACAGCAGAATAAAAGACACATATGCAGAGCCTAACATATGGATATGCTCAATAAACATTAATTTAAACATTATTCAAGATATAAAGACTAAGAGTAGTTCTTCTTTTTAAAGATTTTATTTATTTATTATGTATACAACATTCTGCTTCCATGTATATCTGCATACCAGAGGAGGGCACCAGATCTCACAATGGATGGTTGTGAGCCACCCTGTGGTTGCTGGGAATTGAACTCGGGACCTCTGGAAGAGCAGTCAGTGCTCTTAACCTCTGAGACATCTCTCTAGCCCGAATAGTTCTTCTTGATTAATTTTTTTTTTAAGTTGAATCAAATCAAGATACAATGCCATGTCAGGCATGGCAGCACTTCCTTAATCCCAACCCTCAGAGGCAGAGACAGAGGCAAGCAGATCTCTGTGAGTTAGAAGCTAGCCTGGTCTACACAGTGGGTTTCAGCCTGACTATAGTGAGACTGTTTCCAAAAGACCACAAACCAAACCAACAAACCAACCAACTAAAGATCCCCATGCTAATCAAAAAGGATTTCAGGTGTGGCTTAGAAATAGTCTTTCAAAGTGAAATAGTTGTACTTCCCAAAAAATCACCAATAGTATTTTATATCTTGGCTGCTCAAAAATATTATGCTTCCAGAAAATGTTTTTCCTCTTTTCAAAACACTACAAAACTAAGACTTCTCTATTTATAACTCTTTAAACAGTGATTGATACCCTTTATGTTTTCTTGCTAAATGAAGGAAATGCAGGTTTAAAAGTTCAAGGTCGACCTTATACCGGGGAGGGGGGGGGAATTTGGAAACTTCCTGTATTGAAAACAAAAACAAACCAAAACAATAACAAAACAGAAACAAGAGTGCCTTAAATATTATTTGTGTCTGGGCTAATTTTCAGGGCTGCACTCATGCTCTTGAGTGAGAAGTGGGTCTATGGGTAAGCTGAACTGGCTGCACTCATGCTCTTCAGTGTGAGGCGGGCCTGTGTGTATGCGGAGCAGCTGTGACAATGTCCAGCGACAAGGCTGTTCACCACAGAGCTGAACTTCCTCAGCTTGCTTCAACAGATCTCTCTGTTTGCTGGCTTAGGACAGTATGGGGTATTTTGTTTTTCTACTCTATAGTCTCAATTCTCCCCTTTATGATATCCCCGTATTGTCTACAAAAAGAATTTAGTACTGAAAGTATCTGGAAAGATACAGTTAAAAGTAGAGAATTTTCAAGTGAGGAAATTCATGCAAGCCTTTCATATCAAAAAGCGTTGAGAATTCACAGGTGTTTATGAACTGCAAACTCACGACCCATCCATACTCACACTTTGCTCAATTTTTCAAGGACTATCCGTTTTCTAATCTGGTTCTGGGAACTTGAATCAATCAGTGGGAAGCTGGGATCATGCCGAAACACATTCTTAAACAAAACAAACAGAAATTAAGTGGTATTATTTTCTTTTTATGAGTAGAGCAATAACAGAAAAGTTCACTCCTCTAGTATAGAAACAGACTTAAGAATTAATACATTTGGTCATTATCAGGTGGGGAACTTGCCTGGTCCCCCTAACCTCTTTTGTCCCTCTGTAAAATGCTAGATAATAATAAATGTACACTCAAGGGTTAACATCAACAATTACTAGAATTCATTCGTGGGAAAGTCCTGTTTTCAGAAGAGATCATTCAAATGAACTAGGAATGAGAAAGTTGAAAGGAAAAACAAAATGAAATAAACCCACTTTGTTTGCTTGAAAGCATCACAGAACTAGCAAGGTAGTACAGAATTTGGGTAGAGGCCCCAGAGAGGGTAACTCAGGAGAGTACACAGGCTAATCCTGGAAGAGGTGATTGGTTTTTTTCCTAACAGAAACCTGAGCAGAGTTTTTCTAACAGAAACTACAGGTCAGGGAATGCCAAAAAAGGAGCGTTATGGTTAATGCCCCCCAAGTAGAGGAAGACTTGGAAGGAGCACCCTCTGCGAGTAAAACGGAATAGGAGAAAGACTGACTCTTAAGGACTGTTGTCATCACTAAGTCACCTCAACTCATGATCAGGTTATGGCGATGTGGGATTGCTGGAAGTCTCATGAGAATTGAACAGATGCCTCCTAGAGGGTAACAATATCCTGTGTCTCAGGGTAGGGTCTCCTATGTGCATCAGACCACAGGCATGTATCACTAAGCTCAGTTTGCAAAATGTTTGATATCTGATAAAATAAGACAATGCAATAAAAATCAGGAGCATTAGCCCATCAAAGCCAAATTCTCAGGGATTCAGATAATGAAATTATATTACTGTTAAATGATATACTATATAAGCTATATAAAGTTAACATCTTCAAAGAAAAATGACAGTTGAAAATTCTAGCAGACAACTGGAACTATATGAAAGAGCCAATGAACCCTCCATAAGTGAGCAACACAGCTTTCAAAAGCACTCATGGGACAGTGGGCAGCAGAGCCACGTTCTCCCAGGAGACTTCATAACCAGTGTCCATCATGAAGCACATTCTCTGGGGCTAGCAGCCATGGCAGCTGGGTGTCTGACAGTGGCAAGGGAGCTGTGAACATTTCCCCATAGAAGGCCAGAGACTTCAGCTCCACTTCCTTCTCTCTAGCCTCCCAGCTACATGTGGCCCTGGTGCCAGAGCATGTAAAAGGTAGAAGGCTGGCTGATGTTGGTGATCATCAACCAATGCATGACTTTCCAGTCATGCAGCCATGGCTGCCCAGCCTCTCAGTGATCCTAGCATGCGCAGTCTTGCAAAGCTGGACCTGGACAGACTTTCCTTGGATTGCTGGTCCCTATTCAAGGTGAGGAGACATTTCTTTTCCCTTGGCAGAGTCACACGAAAGGTAGACTCAGAGCTCATGGGACACAGCCCCGGGGACCCAGGGGACTACTGTACTTATGCAATGGCACACTCCTCAGTAATGAAAGAATGAACTACAGGCACACACAACAACACAAACGCATAAAAACCAAACCAGCCCAAACAGTATTCTATGAAACAAACTGGATAGCAAAGAATATAGCCTGCTCAAAATTGGCAAAAGTAATCTCTACTGTAGGATAATAATTTTGGGAGAGGCAATGATCACAGCAGACACTGATGTCATCCATTTTCCTTATAAGGAAGCACCTCCTGGTCTGTGCGCTCACTATAAACACTCAACAATCTGTACACTTGCTGTTGAACACCAACAAAAAAAAGCTATAAATCGTTCTACAGCACAATCACACTTCAGACACTGGTTTTTCCTTTGCAAGGCTTCTTAGTGTAAAGCTGTAAGTGGTGGTGAGGCTTATGCGGCTCTCTGGAAGCCAGTGTTCCTCCGAGCTTAATGTAAGTTTTGGATGCTATCTAAAAATGATATCGTGGTTTCAAATATGGTGCGAGGCTAGGCAAAAGTTCTGTAAAGGTCCAAGAAATTTCTATGTGTGTCTCTTTCTATCTTTCCTCTCCAAATCTCCAAGTGTGTTTTTAATTTGAGGGCAACATTTCTTATAATTCCTTTAATAACAGAGTTCTATCCTAAATCAAGACTATTATCTACTCTTCTCTCCACACTAAAAGACTTCCAGACAGCACATATAAACCAGAAGTACGCATTGGGAATATTACAGACTCATTCCTACACCTCAGCAGTGTATACTCAGCCTTTATGTATGAGGACTCTGTACCCAGTTATGTGATGTCACATACTCTGAACAGACGAACAAATGATGAAAGCTACTGAAAGTCCCGTGTACAGACAAAGAACTAAGAACTAAGAAGAACTAAGTTTTTAATGACTGAGTGGATCTCATCTGTATTCATTACTGCCCAGTAAATCCCTTTACTGTAGTGTTTTCACTGTAACCTTTCATCTTTTGGCTTGTGAGGTGTGTCTTCCTACACGTGTGAAAGTGCACTCGTGGGCATGCATGATGTCCTCTATCTTGAGCCTCCACCTTCATTTGCAGATAGCCTCTCCCTGAACTTGGAGATGTTTCTTTTAGACTGGCTGATCAGAGAGCCCCTCGTGTCCCTGGTCTCTCCCCTCCCCTGGCAGTGGATAACAGATGCACATCACTGTGCCTTCCGTCTATGAGTGTCGGGAATCTGAACTTGGCTCCTCAGGCTTGGGTAGCAAGTACCTTCTCCAATGAGCCAACTTCCTAGCCATGCCTGTAACATTTCAGACAGACGCTAACTGAACATTACCTCAAAAAGCATTTAGCTGTCTAAGCAATTAATCTATCCTACTGAAAGCAGCATGAGGCACGCCCCAGATTTGCTTTGCTGAGCTCTCCAAATATGAGCAGCCTAAAAAAAAAAAAAAAAAGAGAATCATTGGACGACATACCTCTCCTGGGTCCTGCAACTTGGTCATTTCTTCATTTAAGATATAGTGTCCTCTGTAGAACTCCCTGACCCTCAGGTTCAGCATTTCAGTTTCTTTTTTCAAGCTCTCATAGGTGGGCACTGGCTTAATGGCCGTACCTGAGCCTCTGACTGGTAGTGTGTCATCAAGGTTGTTCTGAGGCTGGCTCTGGGCAGGACCACAACTACCTGCCTCACAGCTTATGTCATCTTCATCGAGTTCTTCATCAGGTACAGGGGCCGAGGATGGTTTCAGGCACACAGAGGCACAATCTTGGCCATACAAAAACGTCAGTGTTTCTTCTGTCTTCCATTCAGTCAAGGTGTTCTTTAGAACTCGAAGTAAGTTTGCCTTTGCAACCTCAGGACATACCTGCACCGGGCCGGAGGCTGACTTGGAACCTTGGTTAGATTTGGCAAATTTGGTCCTGAAATGCTCAGCACTTTTCTTGCTAATCCCCACAAGAGTGACCTCTGGCACACTGCGCCTGTTGTCAGGAACTGCTAAGGTGTGCAGTCCTTCATACAGTGGGCCGGGTGAAGAAATCTGAGCATCTTCTTTCTTTGAGGGAAGTTCACAGGCTTTCTCCTGACTGTCCAACTTGCAGTTACCCAACCGCTCAGTGACATCTGCCACTGTCTGTTCTCTGTGCTTGGAGTCCACTTTCTGATCAGCTTTCTTTTTCATTGTGCTGCTGTCTTTGCACGGCTGTGGCCTCGTATCTGCTGCCTGCGGTCTGTCTCCTGGGAGAAGCGAGGAAACGAAGCCTTGCTCATCATCACTGGTGCATTCACTACACGTGCTGGGAGACAGACCTTCACAGGCACCAGGACCATCAATATCTGCTGCTGTAATGGCGTCTTTGAAAAACTGCACTACTTCTCCAGAGCAGCCACTGTCCAAGAAAGACAATCAAAACAAAGACAATTGGAAGACAAAGCATTTCAAGTTACATCCTGGAATTTTCGAGGTAAAAAATTCCGTTCCTTAGACATAGCCTTGCTTATACTTTCTCACACATAAACTTCAGAAGGCTTTAATTTCTTCATTTCTAATACATGTTTGATACAATTCTTTTCCTTTCCCTGTTTCTAACAATTCTTTTCCTTTCCCTGTTTCTAACAATTCTTTTGTTTGTTTGTTTGGTTTTTTGTTTTCAAGTTGGGGTTTCTCTGTGTAACCATCCTGGCTGTCCTGGAACTTGCTCTGTAGATCAGACTGGCCTCGAACTCAGAGTTCTGCCTCCTGAGTGTTAGGGTTAAAGAGGTGCACCACCACCACCCAGCCCCATTTTACAATTCCTCAAGCAGTATAGCAAACAAATACCATAATATTTTAAAGACACTATCCTGTTCGATGATTTTGATTTTTGTTTGAAAAAGAGGTGAATATTTTCTAGTTCTGGTTGATCATTATACAGAGAAAATTCCCTGGAATGGAAAATACAAAACTCATAACAGAAAGTGAAGTTGGTACATCAACATTTTTCAATGAAAGATACTTAAGTTTGAAAACTCAGGAGTTACAGCAGATCACAAGCAATTAAGGATAACAGCTGTCCCCCATTCTGTCTTTCTCTTTTCAGAGTCAGTTTAAATAAGATTAAGACTTCTGAAGGAACAAAGGCAAACAGGAGCACCCCAGTGGTTCATGTGGGGACAGTGTGCCTCACCTCCAGCCCTTGTCAGCTCTCCTACTGGATGAGGCCGTGTGGGGTCGGGAAGCCCACTGTGGGAAGGTGTGAAGGAAAGGGCCAAGGAAGCAAGGAGCTCAAAGCAAGGTTCTAGTGGGAATGCAGAAAGATGACCAACATTTTCAGCATTACATACGTTTTTTCACTAGAATCTAATCTATACAATCAGGCAGGTGATGATTGGATAAGAAGAAAGTATAACATCAAGAAATTAGATTGCAGGCTAAAAAGATGCCTCCATAGTTAAGACCATGTGTTCTTATAGAGGACCTAGGTTTGATTCCCAGGGCCCACATGGTGGTTTCACAACTGCCCCTAACTCCAGTTCCATGGAATCCAATGCCCTCTTATGACCTCCCTCAGCAAACATTTATACATATAAAAAAATGAAACAAATATAAAAATAGCTAGAATGAAACTTTCATAGTTTTTACATCTCAGTCTTTCTCTTGAGGTTTTAAAGCACTTATATTTTATACTAGGTTAAAGCCATAAAGGTGTCCATCAATAAACAAGTGTCTCTTATTGGTGCTGAATACTGTGTGACTAAGGCAGTGACTGATTACATTACCAAGGACATTTAATTGGAGACTTGAAAGGATGTGTTGTGAGAGAGGGCTGCAATTGAGGAAACATCACTAAGAGTTGTCCCCCTCCTCATGGTGGGGTTAGGAAAAATAAAACCCCACAACCTGCATTTATATTAAAACTTTAAATATTCTTTCAAATAATCAAGTAACACACTAGTGTCCTAAAATCCTGTAAGACCACAAAACCCATTCTCAAATATAATGGGCACAACCTCATCAACAAAGGAACAGTATCTGAGATGGAGGCTGTGTTTGTGTCTATTTCAACATGTTCAATTAGAACCCTCAATGAGACATCTGCACAATAGATCAGACAGACCAAACAAACCATCTTTCTCTCACTAGAGGGAATGCTGGACATGTCACACGTTTCTCTGTACCACACACCACCTGGCCCACTCAGGTTGGTGAAACTGATTTGAACGAACCTTTGTCCTTCCTTCAGCAGCTGAAAATCAGGAGGCCTGGAACAACAACAACAACAAAAAAAAAAAACAGAGGAAACTGAAGGCAACTGACACATCAAACATGTTCAAGAGTTTACTTTAACTCTATTGCATGGGAAATATAATTAAAGAAGTAATTCATAAAAAGATTTTTTTCTTTAAGAAGGGCAAAGTACTGTAAAATAATGTAAAAAAGAAATCTGGATTCCGTGTTTTTTTTTTTTTTTTAACCTAAAATTTACTCATTTTCAGAATTAAGTTTAAATTCCCATGCACCCCATACAGTTTCCCTTGACCAATGTGAGCAAAAGCAAATTGCTCTCTTCAATAAATTCCAGTCACTATCAGCTCCAGCTAATTGAATTATTTTGTTTTTTATTGTCAGAACTGCTGTCTAAATGTTTTACTGAGCATATGTTTGAGTTCTTAACTAATCTGCCAGCTCCTGGAGGGCAGAGACTATACTTTCAATCAAATGACTTCAGAGACAGCAATTATATTGCATTATAACTTTTTTTTTTTGAGACAGTCTTACTATATATTCCTGGTTGGTCTTAAACTCATAAAAGTCCAAAGCTGGAACTAAAGGTGCCACCAATTTGGACATGAATGTGTGTGTGTGTGTGTGTGTGTGTGTGTGTGTGTGTGTGTACAGTGCCTGGAGAAGGCATAAGAGGGTGTAAGAAAGTTAGTGTTGGAGTTACAGACAGTTGGGAGCTGCCATGTAGTTTTTGGGAACTGAACCTCTGGAAGAGCAGCAAAGTTCTCCTAACCACAGAGCCACCTCCCCAGCACCTGTCCAAATCAAGTAAGTTAAACTTAATTCTGTGAACAATTTGGTTATACACTGTCAGAAATCACATCTGACTATTGAAAAGGCAAGATCTCTTCAAAGTGAAATATAAAGGCCGAGGAGCACACCACGGAGAAATTAATGCACCAAATACAATCTTATTTCAAGTCCCAGAAGAGAGCGCACTGTTCAGTGCATGAGAGATACATGAACAGGAAGCCAGAAATGATGCTGAGCCAGTCAAGAAAAGATTGAAAGGAATGATTTCAGCTGGTCTTACACACACAGTTTATAACTAAAGATGTTTGAAGTCAAACCTGTGAATTTCACTCTATATGCCTGCCTTTCTTTTTTAAAACAGGTGATCATACTTAAATCTACCCTCTTCACATGCAAACACACCCCAGTCCTTTGGGAGTCTACACCATTAACCCCTTTTTCGGGTTGGAGAGATGGTTTCGAGGTTAAGAGCACTGGCTGCCCTTCCTAAGGTCAGGATTTGATGCCAGCACCTACATGGCTCACAGCCATGTGTAACTCCAGTCCCAAGGAATCTGGTGTGTGCTGTTCTGGAGTTGACGAGTATTGCATGTGCATGGTACGCAGGCAGACGGGCAAACACAACACCCAAACACACAAAGTCTGCCCTCATCACTTCTGGTCGGTATCTGTCACCCGGTCACCAGCCTCTGTCTCCTGGAATCTCTGTCTATTACTTGTCTTAAAAGGCTCTTGCTGAGACCACCAATAACTACAGCAATGGTAGCCATTTTTCTTTTCTTTTTTAGAGCAGAGGGAAGAGAACCAGTCTAAAAGTAAGAAGAATGGACTCAATCATAAAGGCAGGCCAGGGTGAAGAAAAATCAGTAACCAAGAGCAGAGTGGTGTGTTTGCAACGAAGAGGAGACACACGAGAGCAGTGGAGGGAATCAGTGCTGTCAGAGATGCCCATATGCTCACGTTTGAGTATAGCAGTAGGTTAAAACACACTGAAGGTTGGAGGTTGGGTTCAATGTTGAAAGTGAGAAGAAAGATCTGAATGTATCCGATAATACAAATGGGAAAATGAGGGTAGAAATGCCGAAGATACAGGCTTTGGTGCCAGATGGACTTGGGTGGGTGGGTTTTTTTTTTTTTGAGTCTTGCTATATTTCAGGATGGCCTGGAACCATTACAAAGGTCAGCTAGCCTGGAATCTATGCTTCTCCTGCCTCAGCCTCTTAAATGCCAGCCAGTATCGCAGATGTGAACCAGCACACCCACCTCCACGCCTGCACTTCAACCTCAAACCTCTGCACACAAGCCAAGTGTCTCACAAGTGTATCACGACACCTTTGAGTTCCACTGTCTCTAAGATAGGCAATTTAACAACCCTAGGTGACCAAAATTAAAGCGATATTCTACCCAAAATGTTAATGGTTTTGACAACTTTCTCAATGATGTTCGGCAATCCAAGTACAGAAGGAAAAAAGACTGGACCATGGGAGGTGGGAAGGGCAGAAAATTAAACAAGAACGAACTTGGAAGCAACTTCGAGGGTAAAGCTGTAACTGCTGACTGTACAGTCTGAGAAATCAAATATGATAAGGGTCTGTCAGTGCAGAAGAACAGAGCTGGAGAGGGGTCAGAAGGAGGTCGAAGAGCAGCTAGAGACAACATCAAAGTTGTGGTCAGAGAGGATCCAAGCGAGAACAAGGCCCAAATGCTGCTGACTCAAGTGACAATCAAACTGAAACATTTATATCATCAATACAATTTGGGCTAGTTTGGATTTCATTTTGTGGGCTTATTTATTTATTTATTTATTTATTTATTTAGAGATGGGATCACACTGGTCTTTAAATTCAGGCTGGACTCAACCGATCTCCTGCCTCATCCTCTTCAGCACCAGGTACCAGACTCACCTTGCTTCGTCTGTTTTTGTTTTTGTTTTTGTTTTAAAGAAATAAAAGAAAGCTCAGTTTCTGATGGCAGGAGGAACATTTGTATACAGCAAGTACCAACATTCTGGCTCATGGTTCCAGACATCGCTTTAGGGAGGGCAGAGAGGCAAAGCTCCAGACAGCTGGGGCACTGCATGTACTCAGGCGGCAGAACAATGGATGCTTGCTGCTGTACAGCTTGCCTTCTGCATTCACACACTCCAAGACCCCAACAGGGGAATGGCGCTGTTCACAGTGGTGGGTCTCACCACCTCCACACTGGAGGGGGTGTGCCAAGAAGCACTGGCCCAGGACATTGTTGAGTCTCTTATGCTTAGACTTAACACTAACCACCACAATAGGTTTTTAAAATTGTGGTGAAGAGGCCAAAGATTCGGCCTTGGGCTGAAAAGGTAGCAGCAAATCATGAACAGGCTGCTTAGTCAGGTGTGGAGAAGACGAAGTTATCGTTTCACGTTCAGTATTTCTACTGATGCTTGGCTGTCGTCAGGGCTGTGGCTAGCAGTCAATCACTGTTAGACCGCCTCCATGGTTCACACACCTTTTCATTTCATCTTCCAACTTCCACCAAGTTTAGAACTTAGGTCTTATTTCAAATTCTGACCTCTTTCCACCCCATGATGCTCTAGTGTCAGGAACCCCCCCCCAAAAAAAAAAAACCCAGGAAAACTTTTGGTTCATATCTCTTGATCATGTTTTACAAATCTTATGTCTTCTATTTTCTCTGACTTTACAGTCAACCTTGTTACTAGGAGATTTTGGGTTTTGTTTTGTTTATTTTTTGAAACAAGGTCTCTCTATGTAGCTCTGGCTGTCCTGGAACTCCATAACAATCCTGTACAATAAAAAAGCATCCAGAGGCATCACCATCCCTGATTTAAAATTATACTATAGAATATAGCAATAAAAAATTACATGGTATTGGCATAGAAACAGAGAGCTTGATCAATGGAATTGATTGGCAAAAAGACAGGATGATCAATGGAATCGACTGACAAAATCAAAACCAAAAAAAAAAAAAAAAAAAAAAAAAAAAAAAAAAAAAAAAAACCACCAGACAGGTACAAGTTGAGCAATGGAATTGCTGTGATGGTGGGAAGCCTACAGTCCTCCCTGTGGTGGGAGGACTCAAGTCTCCTTAGACACAGTGAAATCTTTTCAGGAAGCGTTTATTCTGCTCGCTGAGCACAGAGGCGGCTGCTCAGGAAGAGGTCATAAAAGTTGCTCTGCAGAGGTTTTTGGCTTCCGCTCCTGAGATTATGCATGTTTATTGCAGAGAACTGATATGTAAAAATCCCCTTCTCCAGGCCACATGATGCGTTTAGCTCTGTCAGCATTAACCATTCATTCAAATTTGATATTTAAAAACAAAATTTGCTATTCAACATTTGTCCTTTCTTTATAGATTTTTAACTCATAATTCTAGAGACCCCTGTCTCCTAAGCTCCAGACTCTACTTGTGTAAAACCATTCAGGATTTACAAATCCAAGCACAGAGTAAGTAGAAGCACACTGTTTCAGCATCAGAACTGCATGTGGCCTGTTTCTGGGCTCTGGTTGGGTGAGCAATGTGAGACACATAACACACTACGAACCACACGGCTCTAACTCATGTTTGTCTCTGGCAGACTGTCAGGAGAGGTCTGTCAGAACCACTACTCCCCAAGGCTCAAGGGTGTATTTTAATTTTAGATATTTTTTCACTATAATTAATGACTTCCTAACTATTGAGGCACAAAGTTAAGGGATTATATAATAAACAAACTTATCCTAGTATTCACAGTTATGTGTGAGACCAAACTGGGTCCCACTGTTTCCCATTGGTATTTAAGACCATGACACGCCAGGTTTCAAATACATTAGAAAATACCCCTGGCTTTTCTTCTCATTTAAACTTTGACCCAGTCTTCTATGGACCTTCATCTTAACAAACAAAAGTGTTCTGATTCCTCTACGTTCCTGAGTCAGACAGATCGGGTAACAAGGCAGCTCAAGTCTGTCTGGTTTCATGCTGATATGGGACGAATACAAACGCAGACTTCTACTTTCACAAGTGAGGAACTGATCTAGTGCAAAAATACGGTTTTATGATCCTCAAACAACTAAAAACCTAGAGTGAATGAAACAGTACTCTTCAAGTCACAGTGACCAACAAGACACATAATCAGCATGTCATAAAAGTGGTAGAAAATAATTAGACTTTAGTGACTGTTTTTAAAGCTATATGCACATATTAGACTACAATGTAAGATATAGTAATTAAAAAGCTTATAATTAATTGCATGAGACATTAATTACACGAATGGATTTAAAATTTGTATTTTAAATTGACCATTAAATCACTATAGCGGCCGGGTGGTGGCGGCGCATGCCTTTAGTCCCAGCACTTGGGAGGCAGAGGCAGGCGGATCTCTGTGAGTTCGAGACCAGCCTGGTCTACAAGAGCTAGTTCTAGGATAGCCTCCAAAGCCACAGAGAAACCCTGTCAAACAAAACAAATAAACAAAAAAAAAAAAACAAAAAAAGTCACTATAGTGAAATTTATGTTTATTACTGAAAATAAAAATCTCTGCATTAAATACTAGGGAAGCTATTCTAAAATGCAGCAACACATTAAAAAAAATCATTCTCAGTGACAACAGTGACCTCTTGTGGATTCATTAAATTATAACACAGCCATATGCCCAAGAGTTAAGCAATTGAGAAGACAGTACAAGGCTGTACCACAGTAAGGCTATACACAGTAAGGCTCTGGTTAGACGACAGGCAACAGGAGATTTATGTTTAGCCCCACCCTTCACCAATGTCCATAAATCACGCTGAGTGCAGTGGGCAGAAACCTGGCCTCATTCAGAGTCTACCATTAGCTTATGGAATATGCTCCATTTTTGTAAGGTGGCTTATCTAAGGAACTGGATTGACTCTATGGGTCTTTTAAGCTTTTGAGACTCCTTGTTTTTGAACTCATCTTGTAGACCAACACCAGATCAAGGTCTGCTCAAAAGACCTTGCGTACTGGGTGTATTTGTTGAACCCTTGATTAGCACATAGAAGGCCCCGGCTCAACCCCATAGTGCAAACAGACACCTGACACTCCCTAGTACCTGAAAATGCACCACACTCTACCTGTATGTGCATTTTCTTCCTATTGTGGTCTGGAGCCCTCTAATCCATGATGCCTAAAACCAGAACTTTACAAACACTATATTCTTTTCCTATGTGGCTAGTAAATGATTGACAGGTGAACTTGTGTACACTAGGAAAAGATTTATGCCCCAGGCAAGGAGGAGCAGCATAGTGTGAGATTTTTATTGTGCTATTCAGAATGATTTATAACTTAAACATTTATGAATTATTTCTGGAGCCATCCATTTAATATTTTCAGATTATAGTTAATGCCAGTGACTGAAAAAATGGAAAGTTAAACAATGGTCAAGAAAGGGTCACTTTAGTTAGCCAGTCCCACCCTACTCCCTTGAATTTTTCTCTTTTGTTTACAGTTTATCATTAAGTAATGTTGCAAAATTTATATTACACGTACTTGGTAAAGTTACTAAGTGTTGCTTCTCTCACGTACTTATTCTATCATCTCAGTCACCATTACACTCACAGATTGAGATGGTGCACATGCGTGTGCGTGTGTGTGTCCTGCCAGGCATTGAGTGCAGAGTGCATACTCTGTAAATTAAGCGCATTTGTCTAAATTGGGGGAATAAAACACTATTTTTGTCTTTTTTCCTCCACTAAAATGTAAGAAAGGTTATATAAGTGAGAGGAACCTCAGTAACTATAAACATTGATTAAGGCTTCAAGTTCTGAGGAAAAGTAGAGATTGTGAATGCAGAGGGGTGAGACTCAGGAAAAGGTCAAATACAGCTAGCACCATGTGTGAGGAAAACTTGTCTTGGGAATGCCTTCCCTCCGTCTTCCTGCACTCTCTTTCTTTGAGACAGTGTCTCCTGTGGGCCAGGCTGGCCTGGGGTTTACTAGGTAGGTAAGGGTGGCCTTGAGCTCTGATTATCCTGCCTCTCAAGAGTTTGGAGATTACAGTACAATTATGTCCAGCTTGGTGAACAGTTTGGAAGTAGACGTAAGGATGCTACTAAGGATTGAATTTAACAAGCAGAGATGTTGGAAATAAAAGACAAAGATAACTTAACCAACTGATGCTATTCAGTGGGGAGTGGAACATGCTGCTGGAACCTTAGCAGTTTGGTGATAGAAAAGGTGGAGAACAAGGCAGTGACAAGATAGAGAGTGTGAATGCCCCATTTACCTTGGAACCTGCTGTTTTTTTAATGCTCTGTACAAGAAAGTTTATGGCTAGAGGTGAAATGACTGATTTAGTCTTTATCACGGTCTGTTTAAGGCCACAGGGTGGTGGGTAGGCTTTGCATAGCAAGGATTGCAGAGGAACATGCTATCAAAGGTCTGTCGATGATGTCAATGAACTGGTGGAATTGAATGAACTGGTGGAATTCTTTACCGGGACAGAATTTAAGACTTTGCCTGTCTTACAGCAAAGCTCTTGCGTCAATTGCATCTCTTTACACTTGAGTCACATATTTACCTAGCATCCATCTACACTGTCTGACCACAAACAACGGGCTTGTGCCAACTCTTCAAACATGCAACATTCAGGAGGTTACTAATGTCACTAAGCCTTTGTCTGGAGTTTCTATACAATTTAGTTGGATAATGATGATACCTGTTGCTTTGACGAATAACTTTCTTTAAATTCTGTATTGATAAAATACTGCCAGTGTTTAAATGTCCCAAAGCAAAAGCCCTGTGATGATCACACACTTTTTAACAAAAAGGTCTTTTTATTGGCTTTCTTTAAACTCAGGATACTGCAACAAAGTGAGCTAGTTCCCCAAGAGCCATTATCTTCTGAAAAAGGTTACTATTTTAATTCAGGATTGTTACAATGACAGACTTCACAGTCACTCTGGGCAAAGCAAGAGCCAGAATGCAAGTTCCAGTTTTGGGATTACAATTACAACATCAGAGAAAAACATCTGCATGTTAAGATTTACCATTTAAAACCCTTAATAACTATTCTTAAGATATAGCTATTTCTCCACAGCTAAGCTGTGTAGATGGTGACCCTCTGCGGACAATCAAGCCTGCTCTTACTGGAAAGGTTACTTGACCACTAGAGAAAACAAGACAAAGGTTTCATTACCTTTCTTCCTCTCGAACCCATACTGGAGTTTTGGGAATTTGTGTTTCAAAAAATTTAGATGCTCTGTAACAAAAGTTGCTGCAGAAAGACTGAAAAAGAAATATTTAAAATAAGCTCATTGCTTTTCTATTTGAAAAATAGCCTACACACGGAAAACATGTTATGTGCAGCTCAAAGAATAAAACAAAACTCTAAGGCTTTTACCACAGATGGCTGAGAGTACATGACAGTAACTCTGATGGCTTCTATTTGCCCTACTAGCTACATCACCTTCTGCATTCCCTGGGGTAAACACCATCAGACACGCTCTGCTCACCATTCCTTTTGGTCATCACCATACAACACCTACCCACTCTTCCCTATACAGCACCTATTCACCATGTAGCACCCATTTGCTGATCCCTGTAAAACACATGGCTCTATCACGTTTGAGCTTTATCTAAATGAGATGTGGCAGCCGGGCAGTGGTGGTGCATGCCTTTAGTTCCAGCACTCAGGAGGCAGAGGCAGGCAGATCTCTGTGAGTTCAAGATCAGCCTGGTCTACAAGAGTGAGTTCCAGGTCAGCCTCCAAAGCCACAGAGAAACCCTGTCTCGAAACTCAATCAATCAATGGGATACGACTCAGTGTTCATGTCTTTCTTTTTGTTCAAAACCACATTTTTAAGATTGACCCAGGCTCTCCTGTAGTTTACCCTTTCACTGTACTCCTTTACATTCTGGAGCTGGGGCACAACAGAGGCAGAGCACTGGCCTGGCCCTGCGCGGCCCTGGGTCCCATCCCCGTTACCACAGAGAGCAAACGTGTTCCACGCTGTTACTTTAACTTATTCTTTATTTATGAACAACTGAACTGTTTGTGACCTTTTGCTACCACTTAAATGTTATAAACTTTAATTTATATTTTTTTTAGATGGGGGGTCTCACTTTGTTTCCCAGGCTAGTCAAAAATGCACTGTGAGGCTCAAGGTGGCTTTGCATCTGTGGCACTCCTCCTTTCACAGCCTCCCAAGTTCTGGGATGTCAGGGTAAGCCACCACCAAGCAACTTAATTAAAAAAAAAAATTTTAAAGACTACAGTTAATACTTTCACTTTTTAATTATTTAAATTAATAAATTTAAGTGTGTGCACATAAGCCACAGCATGCATGCAGAGGTCAGAACAATGCTGGAAAGTCAATTCTTTCTTTTCCACCCTTACTGACTATCTCTTTGACCCTTTTTGTTTTTTTGAGGTAGGGCTTCTTTATATAGTGTAAGCGAACTTCAAATTTTCTGTCGTTGAGGATGCTTTTGAACTTCTGACCTTCCTTCCTCCGAATTTTGAGTCCTGGAATTACAGGCACATCCCTGGCTCACTAATTTTCTCTTTTTGTGTATATGTATGTTCACACACACGAGTGGTATATACGTGTCTCTGTGTGTGCTTGGGTCTGCATATGCACACATGTGTATACTCACTTGTACAGGCCAGAGGCTGACAGTGGGCATGTTCCCCAATCACTCATTATCTTCTGTTTTGAGACAGGGCCTCTCACTGATTTTTGAGCTTCCTGCTTTTTGCTCAGCTGGCTGACTAGGGAGCCACTGGATCTGTCTCCAAACCCCAGTGCTAGGGTTTTGAACACATGGCACTTAAACTCCTTAGTCATCTTTCTGGTCCACTTTTTTTTTCCTTTATCATTAAAATGAATTTAATTTAAACACGATACAATCTATTAGGCACGGTGGTGCCCTGGTGGCAGAGGCAAGAGGATCACAAGTTTGAGACCAGCATGAGACTTGGAAGCAGCATGGGAACCCTATCACAAAACTCCCAGGGATACAATGTACTTTAGTGGTAATACAACTGCCAAACAAGTGCAAGGACCTAATTCCCAGTAAGCAAGCCCAAGTGCTGTGGCTGCTTGTTGCACTGAAACGTGTTCTCGTCACTGAAATGCTTCACCTGTGAGCTCAGGCCTCCTATTTCAAAACAGTTTTTATTTCATACAACTTCCATGGAAAGTTTTTAAATTTCTTCAGGTTAAGTCATTCTTTGTGGAAAAAAATATATATATAGCACTTTTTTTTTGTATTACAAAAACAAAAAAGTAATTCATCAATCCATTGACGTCAGCAAATTTAGTTCACTGGTGCTCCCAACACATAAACGGATGCACCAGTCCATAGGCATTTAATGTCTAGTTTAACTGGTTTCTTTTATCTTCTGGAGAAGATACTCCATCTGCAGATTCAGGTTTGGCTGGCCCTTTCTAGTCTTTTTGCTCAGGACTTTGAAAGCTTCCATCTTCTTCTTGTAGAGCCTCCGAGCCTCTTCTCATTCTCGCTTTCTCATTTCAAATTCAAATTTCTTAGCAGCACGCTTTGCTTGTATCCGTTCATACTCTTCTTGTGCCTTTTGGTTTGAAGTTTTCTTTTTCTTTGGAACAGTGACAGAATTTGGTGTACACAGCTGCTCTGGCTGAGACTGGTGATCACTAGACTGTTCTTCAGACAAAGTCTGTTCAGTGTTACACTCTTCTTCAGGCACAGGCTGGTCAACTTGTTCTTCTGAGGGAGGCAGACCAACCTTTCTCCGCTGTTTCTTGAGTCTTTCTTCTTCAGCTAAATAGAGGTGTTTCAGATGGTCTGGGTAATGATCAGTGAACTGGGATTCCTGGGACGTTGGTGCCTTCTTTACCTCCCACAGCAATTTCTTGTAATTTTGCTGGATCTTCAGTTTCCTCCAAAATGCAAAACCTTATCCCTCGCAAACGCTTCCGGCTTGCTGGTGGCTAGGCTGCCAGGTCCTGCGTTTCCCACTTTGGTTCTTGGATGCGACCTGAGGAGTCCCTTCCTTGCACGCCACAAATCCTCCAGTCCGCCACTTCGAAGATGGCCTCACCGGCACCATCTTGCCCCACTTGGGTCGGGAGAATGACCCTGGTCCACTTTTTAAAATGCACATAAAATTTGCTATCTTAATCCTCTTTTGAGTCGGTGCTTTGCTGTGAAACCCTGCTGGATTCAAATTCTCAATTCTCATGCCTTAGTCTCCCATGTGCTAATACTACAGGCAATGCCACCTGCTCTTTTACTTGTCACCACTTTTTGATGCACAGTTCAGTGACATTAAGTTCACACTGTGTACAGTTCTCTTCAGTCACTGTCTTTGGAATTCTTCTTAGCATGCAAAACTGAAAATCTGTACACACGAAACAATAACTCTCTATTCCTACCTTCTTTGACAAGCACCATTCTGCTACAAACACGATAACTTTAAGAACCTTGTAAAATAGCTTATACTGTATTTGTCCTTTTGTGTTGGCTTATTTCACTTAATAATGTCTTCAAAGTTCCTATGTCACTATATGCCTATATTATATTTTATAGCTATGAATATTTTTATACATATACCCTGGTACACATGGCCTAAGAATTTCCTCAAGGCATATAACAAAGAACAAAAAGGCTTGGTCACAAAGAATGTGAGAGGCTTCTGGCGTGCAGCTTTACTTGGCATTAATGAGCCTCTCTGGCATGTAAGAGGTTCTGCTTTGGAGCCCAGCCTCCCCACTTTGTGGAGCAAAACCGATTCCAAAACTGGCTCTCAAAATGGCTGTAACAGGGGCTGGAAAGATGGCTCAGCAGTTTAAGAGCACTGACTGTTCTTCCAGAGGTCCTGAGTTCAATTCCCAGCAACCACATGGTGGCTCACAACCACCCTGAATGAGATCTGGTGCCTTCTGCTGGCATGCAGGCAGAAGACTGAATACATAATAAATAAATAAATAAATAAAAATCTTTAAAAAAAAATGGCTGTAACAATACTCACTCCCACCAGCTCCTTTGTGAGTTGTACAACCAGCTCACTGTGTTTAGACTAGTCTTTTCTCCAACTACTAAAGAAAATGAGCATGTTTTCATGTGTTCACTAACCATTTACTCCTGTGTATAAATGTTTGCGTTAGCTTGCCTTCCCTTTTTCTCAACGTGTTCTGGTCATGGATTTGTAGGAAATCTAACTTCACACGTTTCACTTGTTCGTTCTCTCCTCCCCCCTCATTTTTTTCAAGACAGAGTTTCTTTGTGGAGCCCTGCCTGTTCTGGATCTCACTCTGTAGACCAAGCTGGCTTGAACTCAGAGATATGCCCCAGCCTCTGCCTCCCAAGTGCTGGGATTAATTAATATTGCTTTTATGTTTTGTTTTTTGGGACAGGGTTTCTCTGTGGCTTTGGAGGCTGTCCTGGAACTAGCTCTTGTAGACCAGGCTGATCTCAACCTCACAGAGTTCCGCCTGCCTCTGCCTCCTGAGTGCTGGGACTAAAGGCATGCGTCACCACTGCCCGGCTGTTTTCTCATTTGTTTTAATGAACAAAAATTTAAAAATTTAAAAAGGAAAGTATGTCAGCTTTTCACACTTTTCTAATTTTCTGTACAAGTTCAAATTCTGACAGCCTTGAGAGGTGTGTTTTCTGTACACAGTTCTCTCCACCCACTTTGTATATAGACGTATACTTTGTATATAGTCAGTTCTCACGTTTCCCATCTGGACAACTGACTATGGCACTGAAAAACCAGTAGTTTTCCAGCTATTGAAAAACCCATCCTTTCTCCACTCACCCCCATACTCCTGTGGCCATTTATCAAGGGGTCATGTATGTGACGAATCATCCAGGTTCATCCTTCATTTCCCGATATACTACTTGCCTGTACTTACAGCAACATGCACTTTATGTTTTTAAATGTTCAAATCTTTTTTGGAGGGAGGTAGCCCAGAGAAGCCCCAAACTTTCTGATAGCTGAGAAAACTATGGACTCCAGACTCTTCCCACCTCCATCATACCCAGCTTTAAGTCTTAGTTAAAGTTCAAGCAAGAATTTTTCTTAGTACCTTAGTTTTAAATAGTTTAAATCTGTTCATGTAGTTATTTTCTAACAGGAAAATTTTAAAGTAAAATTAAAGTTCTATTTAGCATCATTTAAAAAAATTAACTGCCACATCAAAACAGCTTTTGAACTTACCTTTCTTTCAGTAATATCATAGACTTTATTGGTTTTAGTAGAAATTCTATACTTCTGTTTAGGGATCTAAAGAAAAATAAAGCATCATTTACTAGAGAATTTAAGTAAGGAACACAAGCTTTACGTCATATACAATTAAGTCATATATATATATATAGTTAATACTTTTGGCCAACCCAAGTTATTAGTTCATGATCTTGGGCTTTACTTCCTGTTCTTTCTACAACACTAATAAACTAGTAAACACACTTAGGAGAAGAGTACTTACGACTCCGAGCTTCTTCTGACATAAAGGATAGCCACAGAGTTTGATGATGGACCGCTCGTCCACGACATCGCTGTAGTGAGCCGGAGTGATGAACATCCCCTGCAGTGGAATGTTTGCGACAGGTTAGTGGGACCCACTTCACAGCTGTGAAGGCAGAATTAGAGGGGCATGAGAAGGAAAAGTACTTCAGTAAGTTTGATGTACAGTAACACTTAGAGCAATGGTATTTTAAATTCTTCTGGGCAGACGAGATGGCTCCGAGGGCAAAGGTTTCTGCTGCCAAACATGACAACCTGAGTTTCACCTCTGGGACGAACCCACAATGGCAGAACAGAATTGAATCCACATGCACATTGTGGCACATGTGGGTCATGGTATGTATGCCCACCCCATGAGAAAATAAAAATAAATTTAACAACACATTACATGTAACTACAGCTATCTTACTATAATATATATACTATATACTATATATATACTATAATAAGTAAGTATACTTACTTACTTATTAGCTCATTTTAAAGTCATCATAAAGCAAGAAACACTACAACAGTTGATAATTTTAAAAGACAAATTATACATCATGTATCTAAGGACTAAAATAAAATTTAAAGATTCCAATAGTGGGAAGAAATTTCACTTTGCATAGACTGAAGCGTGCTAGACTTGGGGACTGGAGGGATGGCTCAGTAGTTTGGAACGCTTGCTGCTCTGCCAGGTTGGTAACCTGAGTTTGGTTACCAACCATGCAGTTCCAGAGGAACTGGTGCCCTCTTTTGGACTCTACAGGTAACTGAACATACGTGGCATGCATTCACACATACCTATGCATATATTTAAAGAAAAAATGATGGTGCTGGAGAGACAGCTTAGTGGTTTAGAGTATTCGCTGCCCTTGCCAAGGTCCTGAGTTCAGCTCCTGCCACCAATGTTGGGCAGATCACAACCATCTATAACTCCAGTTCCAAGGGATCTGACGACCACTTCCGGACTGTGGGCACTCACAGTGCAGGTACATACATGAATATATGTACAAAGACACTCATACACATAAATAAGTCTTAAATAGATTATTTTAAATCTGGTAATCTGTCAATGTAATACATACACACTCCTTTAGGAATTCCTCTGTGATGTTCTCTTCCAAAAGCTGCTCAACAATGTGCATGGCTTTCCTCTCAAACTCCACCTTCCTTTGCACCGCAGTTTCTAGTTCTGCCCGTCTGAAATTTTAACAAGAAACTTAGTCCACTTAAAACACTTCTCTTGCCAGGCGTTGGTGGCGCATGCCTTTAATCCCAGCACTCGGGAGGCAGAGGCAGCGGATCGCTGTGAGTTCGAGGCCAGCCTAGTCTCCAGAGGAAGTGCCAGGATAGGCTCCAAAGCTACACAGAGAAACCCTGTCTCAAAAAAAACCAAAACAAAACAAAAAAGACTTCTCTTACAGCCAACACTCCATGCTTTAAAAGCCACCACTAACCTTAGCTACTATTTTGCTGAAAAAAAATTATAGTTTTTAATTCTGCCATTTCTCGCCCAATACCTTCCAAATAGCAAGCAACAATTCATTACATTACAGTGTATATACGGAAGCCGATCACAAGGATTACTTCCAGGCTCAGGGCACAAGGAAGCACTTCCAGACACCTATAAAAGAAGGGGGGGCTGGCATGGTAGTCCATGTCCATAATCACGGCACTTGGAAGGCAGAGGTGCAAAGAATGAGAGTCCAAGGCTAGTGTGGACTACACAGGAAGAACCTATATTTTAAAAGAGCATGGATTTTTTTTGGTTTCAGTTTATATTTTTGCCATACATACTTGGCTCACCCCACCTTTCTGAAGAAAGAATGACTGAAGAAACAAAGAAAAGGTGACTTGACTTCTGTTTTCCTCACACACAGAAACTTCTGTCAAGAGCTGAGGTTGTGACATCTCAGTTCAACGGAGCAGTTAGGTCTGGGGGGAAAGGCACTCACTTTATGAGTCTTGCTAGGTAACTGTATGATATGTAGTTGAGGGAATGGGATCCTGTCAGTCCCTGTGGGCCCTCACACATGGGATGTAAAGCCAGGCTATCTCCTTAGGCAACCCCACCCATAAGCAGAGCTTCTCAAGCTCTGCTGCAAGACTGTGTGAGATGTTTTTACACACCGTGCCCAGAATGGAGAATCACCGCTGTCATGAGTGTCCTAGTAATGCCACCTTGGCTGTCACCAGTGCTTACCCCTCCCTCTGACATCTGGACCAGTTGGCAGTCCCAAGTGTTCTCCCTGCTTTCATTAACTTCTGAGACTTTAAACACTTTGCCTAGAGCAGCATGCCCCTCCCCCCAACTTGGCTGTCAGGTAGTTTTGCCAACAATTCGTATTTATAATACATATGTTAAAATGGGAATTCTGAAACTAAACACCTATTTTTTTCCCTACCATTTCATCAAGATCATTTTACCGTTATTTTGAGATAATGGGGATGGAATTCAGGACCTTGCACATGCTAAGGAAGCACTCTACCACCGAGCTGCAATCACTAACTCCATAAAGACCACTTTTGCATCAAAGAAATACAAAAGATATAAACACAGATTACAGTTCTTCATATTTAACATGAAAAGCTTCATGAAAAATTATGTTTCTCAGTTTTGCACCCATCAATAAAAGTCATTATCAACTTGCTGGCTCAAATTATCAACCACACTGTCTGGAGCCATTGTCTTCCTGACTGACAGATATCTACAGCTGCTTCCAATGGGTACTGTCTCAGTGTTATTCCTTCTGTCACAAATGATGAAAACCAATATGGCTGTGCTGGAAGTTTTATGTCAATTTGATACAAGCTACAGTCACCTGAGGGGAGGGAACCTCAATTAAGAAAATGCCTCTATAGTCTACGGCCATACCACTCTGAACATGCCCGATCTCATCTGATCTCAGACGCTAAGCAGAGTTGGGCCTGGTTAGTACTTTGATGGGAGAAAATGCCTCTATAACGTTTTGGGCTGTAGGCAAACCTGTAGGGCATTTTCTTAATTAGTGATCGATGGGGGAATAGTTTAGCTCATTGCCTGTAATGTTACCCCTGGGTTTATGGTCCTGGGTTCTATAAGAAAGCAGGTTAAGCAAGCCTTTCGGACAAGCCAGTAAGCAGCACCTCCCCATGGCCTCTGCACCAGCTTCTGCCTCAGGGTTCCTGCCCTGTTGGGAGTTTCTGTCCTGACTTCCTTTGATGATGAACAGTGATGTGGAAGTATAAGCCAGATAAACCCTTCCCTCCCAAGTTGCTTTTGGTCATGGTGTTTCCTCACTGCAATGGTAACCCTGACTAAGACAGTGGTGTATGAAGCAGTACTCAAACATTCTGGTCTTGGGATTCCTTTATATTCTTAAAACTAGAGCTTTTTCACATATGGATAATATCTGTCGGTATTTACTACATTCAGATTAAAACAAATTAAAAACAATTTATTTCACTTGACAATACCAAGCCTGTCAGATGTTAACTTTTAAATGCATTCTATTAAATGAGTGAACTGATGTACATTTTTTGCTTGTATTTTTTTAGCTGGATTGAACTTGGAAGTATATTATGTCAGAATAAATCAAGAGGATCACCTTATGGATTGCTTTGTCATCCTAGCTAATCTGCTCACAATACATTTTAGCTCAGTGGTAGAGTATTGGCCTAGGATGCAAAGTATTATGCAGGAATGAAAACCAATATGGCTGTGCTAGAAATGCTTTCCTGAACAGTTCTCGAATACGTCTAGCATCTCTAACCCTCCACACCACCTCGCCCTAAATTAAACCTTACATCCAAGCACTGCCTTGCTGTTCTGTGCTCAGACAAACCAAATTTCTCCATGTGACACAGTAGATAGTACATGAACAGAATTCTGCCTCCTTCCCTCCCTCTGGGGATGTTATACACACCCGACCCCAGGCTCTTCATACACACTATCCCCCTAGCTGAACTTCTCTCATCCCTACTGTGTGCTTTACACCTACTATCTTCAGGGTTTAGAGAAGCCTTGTCTTGAAAACCCACAGGCCACCCCCTGCCAATCTAAGTCATTAGTCCTGTCTCATATCTCCTTTTTCTTCATAACACTTACTGCAATTGGTGATGACATATTCATTTGTGTTAGTTTAACTGACATTTCTCAGTCCCAGTGCACTAACCCAAATACAGGCTATCTTGTATTTGGAAAATATTTTGAAAGAAGAGTTTAGTGAATCTTGAAGTGTTGAGTCACGGAGACTTTTAATCTCTTCACAGACAACACCTCTCTTAGAGATCTTTTGTGACATGAGAGATAGATAGTAAAGGGTGGTTTTGGTTTGTTTTTAAATCTGCATTTAATGCTAGGAGACGAAGGGTTCCAGTGAGTCTGGCATATACAACAGTAAGTATGGATGTGAAGAGATGGGGAAGGAATGCTTGGTTAATTCAGGGATGGTGTGCCCACTATGTTTCCAACAGTTTCCAACAGCCTTAGCCTCCAGTTTGCTTTCCTTAAAGTTTTGAGAACTATTAGTGCTCCCTACATCTTCTCATAAGTTTGTTCTCAGTACATAGTTCAATGCCCAAATCCCAAGACTAGAAAATAAAACCAAACAAATCTGATCCAATTAATGAGATAAAAGGAAAGTGGCTATACCTTCTGGAAGCATCTTCTGGTTGGAGGGCACTTGTCTGTTTAGTTCCTACAATTGAAGAGATAACAGCAAATGCAAACACACATTTGATGTAGCAGTCTTACCCAAATAACACACTGTGGGCAGCTTTTCCTTTTCTCTCACAAATTTCATTTCTAGGTAGACAAGAAGGAAACTCCATTGCTTCTGTAAATTAACTACATCTCAATTTTTCTTGACTAAAATCTCTTTGGGGACTGGCTTTTTTCATGTATCATATCAGCTTTAATCAAGTACTTCTTTAAAACAAACAAACAAACAAACAAAACAAGCCAGGCGGTGGTGGCACATGCCCTTAATCAGGAGACAGAAGGCAGGCGGATCTCTGTGAGCTCAAGATCAGACTGGTCTACAGAGGTAGTTCCAGGACAGAGCTAGGGCTGCTACACAGAGAAACCCTGTCTCAAAAAACAAAAATAAATAATAAATAAAAAAATAAAAAACAAAACAAAACTTAAAGCTTTAGGATAAACATTTCTCGGTCTCCCAAATGCTAGATAGCTTGCCTAAAAAGAGGCGCTGATACCTCAGAGACCAGGCCCCAAAGCAGTCCAAAAGGAGGTGTAGTCCAGGATTCGAGGCGGCTGAACACCACCTGTTCTTGGCCCCTTGTGCTGGGGTCCCCAGCACGGCCCACGCAGGGGAAGACCCCGGAACACCCGCGTGAGGCCGCGGGATTCTTTCCCGAGGGCACCGGGGCAGCCACCCGCCACTCGGAGCCCTCCCTCCCCCGGGGGCAGACTGGGCAAGCAGCCCGCGCGCGCAGTGTAGACTCAAGCCAGGGTCTCGGGGTCCAAACCTGGAAGAGGCTACGGTTCGTACCTGCAGCCTTTCGGTAGGTGCTGGAGGCCGGGGCACTCGGGCCCAGCGAGAAAGGAACCGCAGAATCAGCCATGGAAAACGCAGTCAGAAGGTGAGACGCTGGCGGCCGCCAGGCTCC